CAAAATTGAATAATCAATTTTGAAATCAAATAGATATTTAATTTATGATTATAACCTGAAGATATATCTCAGGAACCACTCTATGATTCGGATTAACCCTACGGATATGGTTAAATCCATAGAAGAGCTTCTGGGAAAGAACGGTTGTGTGGTCATGATTGCATCTCTGAAAATCTCGCATAATACTTATTGTGCTTACGAGCAAGTAAGCACTCGTACAATGTAGATAGGTGAACTGATTGACAAAAATTAGGCACAGTATTGAACAAATGCATCACCGGAGCACACGAAATCCTATCATACTGGATGGGTATCGTGGGTATCGTCATGACCCACGAGACGTTGATATTCATTTATGATCCCCAACGTTCTCGGGCTTTCATCGGCAACCATTGCGCTGCGATGGATTTTGTCATCTTAGTTCGCTTGCGCTGTTTACGATACTTAAATGAGAATTATCTCAATGTTCGTGAATGCAGTGAAGAGCAATAACCCTATTGCTCTGTATAGGTAAGAAGGCGGACAACGCGTGACTAACGGTTTATAGAGCAAGGTCTGCAGCCAAAGGTTTACACGTTCAGCGAGGTAGCGTGACTCGCCGGGTCAAATGAAAATTCCGTGGTTGGGCGTAAACAAGCACTTGCACCTGGTAAAACAAAAGTTTGTTTCGAGTAGGAGAGGACTCGCAGGCAAAAGGGTGGAAGTAGTGTTATATCATTAGCTCGTTACTCATGAAATTCGATAGCGTAATGGCCGCTTAATCCAGCAGGTGGATTGCCTATCCAATTGTGCCAGGATAAGCTGCCATATCCGATTTTCTGCTCACTCAACTTCTTCCTATCACTTGATCTGATTTACTTTAGGAAACAAGGAAACACTATCATACTGGTACTATTGTTTCTGATGAAGTTGCTGGGCATGTATCAAATTTAGTTGTAATGATTTTCGTGACCTTATGGGATGCAACGGATGTTTGACGTGAAACTTTCTGTACTGAAAGTATCCGCTTGCAAGACAGTCTAAGAGAGAAGTGGATGTGAAATTGGGATAGCGGTTGGGTACGGTGGCATTGTTTAGCACTCGGTATTCGCCACTTGGCCTTCAATCTCCGGGATTTTATTTCGAAATTATGTCAAGTGTCCAGGCTCAAGGGTTGTGATTCTAGGGGCAATCATGTGGTCGAGTTCTGCCTTGTTAATCTTTTATTTCGGGGTTTCCTGTAGTAGGATCTCTTCCTTAGGGATCTACCTTGTTCCTACAAAACAGTTTTTCTTTTGGTTCATACTAGCCTATAAGCTCTTTTTTCTGACTCCACGAAGTTGCCACATTGCGTTATCCGCTCAACAGGCAAGAGTAGGTGAATTCATCGGAACCCGATATGGCACACCTTCATAAATGAATGTGAAGCAGTTCCTACAAAATGAGCCAAGAAGTCATATTATTGATCCAAGGCCTGGAAAATCTTTTTAAATCGCAGAGCATTACTGCGAAATACCTTACTACCCTATGGGACACAAAGCTGTGCAACCGTTAGGAGCACACCGATCAAAAATCTGCGCGATGTTGGGGTCGTCACTTGTATTGTGTTCCAATGACACATCATAAACTTCATTAATGAGTCCGATCCATCGTCTAGCAGGGATACGCGAAATAAAGTAAACTTTGTCCGGTGACAATCATCTAAGACGAGTAATAATTGGGGGCTCTCTGGATGTAATGTGCTGTGCAGCGTGCTTGGGCTGTATGGTTACGACAAGTGGGTTGGTAACTGGGTCAGGACGGATGCATGGAGACGAGGCACGAGACAACGCACCGAGCGATTGGGTAGTGTTCCCTGCCTTCCAGACTGGAGTCCACAAGTTTCCGTAACTGGTTGGTTGGAGACACTGAAGAGTGTGGAAAGAAACCCGCAGCAGTGACATTCTTGTTCGTTGGGGCCGGTATCCAGTTCATCGGATCATACACCCTTTGAAAGGTGTCAAACATCGAAGGTACCCAATACACCTCGTCCATTCGAGCCGGCAGCCACCGCCACAACCAGTAAAATGTATGCGTGTGGTTCGTAAGCCCCTCGTGAGTGACAGTTACAAATCGGCCTTTGAAGCGGAGCTTCCTCATCACCTCAGTTCAAACATACACTGAAGGACTCAGTGAACACGCTGTTAATCGAGGAAGCTATTTAAATGTCAATCAAAACAACGATGGAATCGGGCGAACTGTCAAAGCACGAAAGCTACCACCACTTGATCTCAGTCCTCCATCCGAAATGGAGGTTACCTAGGAAATTAGTTATTTCGATAGGTATATGGCTTCTGACCTGGAAGGCTTATCCACCGGCTTATAGAGTTGGAGGTTCCATCTGGGTCCTGGAGTTAACGAAGCTCCGGGGTTTACTATGGTAGAAGGAACAGGTTTCCCCTACTAATTCATCCAGAAGACGGGAACCAAAACCGCTACACAGAGACGCATGGTTAATGGTTGTTAAAAGTGATACTGATAACTGAATGATGTGGGTCGGTCCCCTTACCGATCCACAAGGAAAGCGATAAATCCCCTTGTGAAATTAATAGAGGAATTAGTTTAGTCAATATCGTCTCCAAGCTGCTCTGTTGCGTCATACTTAGTCTGTCGCACATGAGGATCAGGCTGCTTTTAGATGTGCTCGGACACATTTTCCTCCTTCGCCACATTTTTGAACATACGTACCCTTCGTAGATCCACCTAGCTTCCTCAATCTGGAAGCAGCATTTGATTCAGTCATCTTCTCCATGCTCTGGTACTTCTTCTCCCTGTAGAGTATGCCAGAGATGTTTATTTGAATGTTACGATCTCTTTATATTGATAGCCGAAGCCGAATTCGATCTGTTTTTCTCGAGTTCATTTCAGAAAGCGGTGTTCATCCGGGTTGCCATCTGTTTCCCTTTCTATTGAACTTTTTGATGGATTTGAGCCTTCAAACAGACTTATCCTCAAAGTCAAAGTTTTATTGTAGAAATTACTTAGAAGCTCATGCTTTTCTTGTCCCCATAGGATATTTACACAGTTGAATCGTTTCTCGGCGAAAAAATCACAGTTCCGAATAGGAGGTAACAGATAATGTAGTCTTAAGTAATCGTACGAGGATAGTGACAGACTGTCTGATCTGGAGTATGTGGGCAACACTGTACTACTTATTCCTGCTCCAGATTGGTTGTAAGCTTCTTTGAGTGGTTTCAATTACGAGGAAGCATGCGTTTCGCACCATCAAAGTGTAAAATATTGCTATAGAGCTGTGTTGATTCAGCTCCCAACCTCACCAACTGGGGAAGGTACATATCTCACACGTCCGAGGTCAGACTGTGTGCCAAACAAAACACGGTAATCTTTATAACAAGAAAAAAATTCATGACTTGAATGTGGGCCGAATACTGCCAGATCAGGGGCGGTGAATTTTCTTCTGGAATGCACAGCCGGCGCCTTCGACCAACCAAAGTCTGACCCGCGAGGCTGCGGGGCGTTGTGTAAGACCGCATTCCATTGGAGGCTGGTGTCCAGTTTATCGGATCATACGCTCTTTGGACGGGGTCAAACGTCCAAGGTGCCCAGTAAACCTCGATGACCAATTGAGCTGGTGAACGTTGCCACAATCGAGGTGTGTTGTTCGTACGCCTCCTATTGGTTGGTTTGTAATCGGGGTTTTTGACCAACTCCCCTAGGTGAATTGCCAGCGGTTCACCAACCCGGTAACAACCCTAGATGTTGGCTTTTCATCCTCTCGCCTGGTTGGGAAAACCTCCGCCCAAAGAAGGCATTGAGATGGGCTTCCTCAGCGAGGCTGTTTGAGAATCTTGGTCGTATAGGAGCATTTCGCGAGGTGCAAGAGAAGGGTGATCAGCCCCAACCCAAGACAGCCACACTCGACCATACTGAGACGCACTTCCAACGAAGTGTCGGCACGCATGTGGTAGGTGGTGGTGGCGCAGTGGTTTAGTTGCTGTCACGGGCGGAATTTGACCCCTATCGTCCGAGGTTCGAGCCACGCCACCACCACCCGACTTTGGTGGTAGGCAGCTCTGTTGTCGTCCGGTTCAATACCACGCCTAATCTATCGGGGCCTTATGTGGTTCGCCACTCTAAGGTCCGGGACTTAGGTTGCCGATCTCAATCACTGAACAGCAGGTCATCGTGACAATGGGGTTCGCCCTGTTTGCTGTTCATCACACACTGGTGTGTTATAAAAAAATGTTCGACTGGTGTTAACCAACCTGAAGAGTATCTCGTATGCCGNATGTTGCAGCAGCTTGACTAATACAGATACTTGGCCATTACGGGAACAGGACAACGAGAGTTAGAACACTGCTATCTACACCGAATTGTACGAATCTGGCAGGAAACCGGGCATGGAATACTGACTTAAGGTGCAGGCTTTTAGGTAATCGCGGACTCTCACTGGGGCAAGTGGATGACATCCACAAATTACGGCGGTTGGGGCTTGTCCTACGTACGTCGTTAAATATATTGCCATGGATTGTGATGTTTGCCGAACCAAGTAATGGATGGAAAAGTCAGTAGTGATCAAGTTAAACATTGTATGAGGACGGGACAACCCTGAATTAGAGACATGGACCTGTAAGTCACGTTGGGTTTCCTGAATTGGGACCTTAGGATGGTTAGAGATACTGAGGGATATGGCTGAGGGTCACAAACAGTGTCTTTAGCGCATCTCAATCAACCGTAGTCTACCAGTGTTCTTCTCATTTACACTGCTTTCAACTTTCCTATCTTCTGTTCTTTCGTCCAAACGTTTTATTACATTTTTTCATGAATTGATCAGATTGGTTGCTAAAAGAACCAGAGAATTTAATTGTAGGTTTACTGGTTGTGCAAACAAAAATAGTCGGGTTTCCTGATACTAGCTTACTATTTACAAAATTGTGTTTATTGTTTACATGGGCTTGTTGTCTTTAATTTTAATGTATTTTATGTAGTCCTCATGCAATATTTTTCAGCTATCAAAGCTTATGGATCCTCCTTTGGCTTCTGTAGAGGCGACAAATGTCATGAAAGGTGGGATCATACTTCTTTGTGCTCATTTTTTCTAGAATCAGACCTCTTTGCTCATAATCATGCTAATAATCTGGAAAACGAATCCACCGAAATTATCTGGAGTGACCGGGCTGAGAGTGCCGAAATCCTTTCAGATTCGAGTGATTTATCTAGTGATCATGATTTTGAAATGCCAAAAGATGTTCCCGATGGTCCCGAGTTCAGTGATTTAGCAGCTCACATTGGTTCGGTGGTTGAATCATTGATCAGTGCCAAGAAACAAACGGATTCATCATTATCATTGAATGGAATGATTGACTCCCAGCCTTCATTACAGACGGAGGAACCGGCGAGTTCTGCCACGTCGCTTTCACGTGCATCGCCTTCAGTGTCTACTCGGAACCTCAGAGTTGCTAAGACTTGCCCAGAAGAAGAAAGCACGGGTACACAACAGGCGATTTCACAACAACCTGTGCAACAGGAAACTTCAGAGATAGAAGGAGATTCCAATTTAATATCTCAAAATACACCGCGACTATCTGCAGTTATCGAAGCTGACAATTCGGCAGATTACCACCCAAAAGATATAGAGTCAATTTCATTTCCGGGCGGAATAGAGCCCTTTGCATTCTTCCCAACAGAGGATGCTTCACGGGTAGATTCTGACCAGTGGGCATGGCCGCCAGATGTGTCCACGGCGATTTCTATTCCTCCCTCAGGTGATGATTCCTCGGACGCAGCGTGTCTGCATGAAAAAGATTTGCAGCAACATCCTGAAGTTCATGCTACAGAATCTGAAAGTGACGAGGATTTTGGAGAGTTCGAGGGCTGTCAGACTGCTATTCTTACACAGGAAAATCCCACGGATTTCACCGAAACCGAAAGAGTTTCACAAATCGAATTATCTGAAGATAAAAGTATCCTGGTGAGTGAAAACAGCTATCTTTTGCATGGAAAAGCCTATTTTTGCCACCTTAGTTTTACCGTAAACTTTAAGTGATTGATACTTGGGCTCAGTTTTACTCGGCTCGATCATACACCAGTAATTTCAAACCTTTAAACGTTCACAAAAACAAAGTGGAGCACCGACTATACTCTGCTTAAACAAGTATGGTGGTTACATAATTGATGATAATCTGTAACAAAATTATACAACAATGGAATTCTTTATTCGGTGGCAAATGTAACTCTCTTCATATAGGACCATCACCATGTGTCCGTTTACTCGATATAGCTATCCAAAAGAGGCTATTAAGCCAAACAACTGGATTAACCTGCCGCCTTGCAGGTCGTTTGTTAATGTGTGAAACCTGGAGTTTGGACCTCATAAAACTACTAAATTGATGACCGTGACACCGCTAGTTGTCCCATCTCCGAGAATCTGTTTATTGAACATCGTGGTTCGTGGGAATGACTTATCTTTCATTAGGAGATGTTTGTAGACAAGTAAAATATGTGTGCAGCATATTTTCTTATCATGTACAAAACACAGCTACACATTTGGTTATCGGTGTTCATGGTGAAACCTTTTTGATTCACGAACGAAAGTGAGTTGCAAATTGCACACCAGTATAAATTTGTGACACAATGGTTATCATTACCATTTATCCTAGCTTAAACTGTAGTTGAGGTTTTTCTATGATACGAATGACAAATGTTAAAAAGAAAACCTGTATTGCCTCGGACGGTGTCGGCGATGTCAAATCAAACATGTGCACGAATCATTTCCAGCAGGTCATTTTTGTTCACATTGTTTCCTTTTAGGGTCGCTTGCTTCAACACTTGGAACCCACACTGGCCAAAGCTTTCGAAACATCGACCACGTCCGTTTTGAATGATTGGGTGACCAGAACACGGAGAGATGAACTGAATAATCCTACCGCTGAAATCGAGTGCGAACATCCTCCGGCATCACTGAATTCTGCAACACACTGTGAGAGCACGTACGTACGATTCTTAGGCGCTGAATTGTGCTCGGTGTTCCTACCCCTTTTTGTGTAGTTTAACAGCATTCGTTGTTTCTGTCTTGGTGCTTGATCGCAATAATTTGGCTTACAGTAAACGGGATGATGGGTATGTTGCTTGATCAAAAAGCCCTGTAATAGGTGTGTTTTAATGGGTAAACGTTTGAACGTTCACGGTTAGCCCAGTTTGTTGATTTTACCTTTGCAAACTTATTTTGTCTGTTCTACAAGAGCTTTTATGGGTGAAAAGATGATAGAACTTCAGCCATGCCTCATATGACAGCAGGCATTTACTAACGATGGCCATTAGTTTGCATATATGACTAATGAAACTTTATCAGGTTGGAAAAATAAGGTGACTTCTTTGAAACAGAAACCAAAGTGTCAGTTGTGATAAAAGAACAGTAAAATGACTGTCTGGCGATGGGTTGAATATTGCAAGTTGGTTGTTGTTGAGAAGGAGAGGGGAATGAAGTGGTTGAATGGGAAAAGGAAAGAAAATGCAGGCCCATAACGCACAGCTGCCGTTTTCAACGGTAATACGAATTAGGATGTTTTGAAGTAAAAGAGCATCTCTTTCAGAATAAAAAAATCTTCACAACGCGAGAGGTTTTCAAAGTGCGATGCTTATGTGGTTTAGTACAAGTGGGATGAATTTAACAGATTAGTAGTCAAAAGGTATACTGTCGTGTTCTTGGGAAGTTACCAGGGCTAAATCCGCCAGCACATTGAATTTACTATTGGGGGGGGATAATGTAAAGATACGCTATCGGTCAAAGTATGAATTGGATTAGAGGTTAGACAAAATAGTCCATACCAATTAGGAGAAGGAAAAAATGGACGAAAGTACAAAACCTTGAACAATCCGAGCACTCACAGGAATGTTATGGAAAATTTTCCCAACCATTCCGGGGGCAATGTGATTAATGAGGAAATTGGAAGTCTATCCCATAAATTCATGAGATACTTAGTTCTTTATGTTGTATGTGGATTCAGACTATAAAACAGACAATGCAGAAATTTTGTCTATAAAAAGTGTGTAAATATGAGCTCGATGAGGTAATCGCAACACGGTTAAAGATTCCTTTATTTCTACTTGTCGTTCATGTCTTGTTTGATCATCCATGAAGTGGCATGTGAAGCCATAACCTAATTCGAATGACAGCAAAGCAAAATAATGGGACCACAGCTTAGTGGGGCCTCAGCGACCAAGTATTGTGGACCATTCACCCATTATCTTTTGTTTCGCTTCTTCAAACCTCGTCATCATCGCCCTAATTCATTTATCAGTTACGAATTCCGTTGGCCACAGCCTCTTTTTTGAATATCGATCTTACAGTTATTGTATGGAGACAAACGGAAGTAAAGCACATTTAAATGCCTTTATCCTCTGAGAGCACCAGGCAACCGTTTCGTTCTTTTTGGGACTTATCAGCAGAGTACACTATGGTTCTCACCCTGTAGGGACTCAAATTGCAAACCCTAGGAGTCGAAACTCCGACCACTGAGGTACAGCCAGTGGTCGACAATTTACACGCGTGTAATGATTATTATTGTTTTCATTCAATCAGTTCATGCGCATGCAAAAATTTGTCAAACATTTCATCTTTACATTGTGCCCAACGCTGTCGGTGAACAGAAGAAATCGTTAAACTGTGCCGGACAAGAAAATTGTAAAACAAGGCGATTTCTTTTTCCGTTTCTATTGCTATAAAGCTGATAGGGATGTGCGTGTGTATATGCTTTTTCGACAAAGTAACCCGATGGTTAAAACAGGGGAACCCTGTTGTTGTATTATCCCATTTTCTCATTACAGTGTTTTTTTTTCGTTTCGTCTCCAAACTGAGCAATTTTATTGACTATTCTCGTGTCAGGTTTTGGAATAATCTATTCACTCACAGTCGTGCTCACGATGCCCGTTTACAATGGAGTAAATCATTGCTTTACGACGCCTATCTGCGATCGGTGAATGTGGACGTTCGTAGTGCTGTAAGTTTCAATTTTGTCTGACCCGGAACTTTCATGATCTGTATACATTCGCCCACTTCACAATGCCATTGTGCTACATTTGAAGCTTTATTTACATGTTTCACCTTATCAGTAGTTCTGTTTTAGTTACGCTTTCAGCTCAGAGATCACCATTTCATCGGGCTTAATCGTGTGATCTCCGAACATGGACTCCAGTTTATTCTGCTCAAAAACCGGATAAACCAGTTTGTGTCTAACCGAGGCATAAAATCCTTGACTAGACAGTGTACGGCATGCTAAGACAGCTCTCACTTAGTGGGCAAACAAGATATACCGCCCGGTCCAACGGAAAGTCCGTTTACCGAACAGAGAATTATGGGTTCCTGGGTGGCATTCGCATCTGTCAGTGGAGGAATGAACTCACAGGGAGCCAGAAACAGCTAAGCACCGACACACTGCTACTTTTCAGTCCGCATTTGATTCTGTAAAGGCCAGAGGTACGGTCTTGAAACGAAAGCTGGATGACGCTGAACACGTCCCTCGTACGCAACTCTCATCATACTTCATGATTTTTCTGAACTCGGTTTATCCTCTACAACTAACTAATCAAAGTAAAGAGGGTGAACGAACTAATCCTTAAACCGGACTTCGTCTGATGAGGACAATATGACGCTTTCAAGTTGGTGGAAGTTTCCTTCGGTATGTACGCATCGCTCATCTGCAAAAACGAAGCACACACTGTGTTCTGAACAATTAAAGTCGTTTCTCTTATTGTTTTAAGAGCTAACAATATTTGCCCGAACTTTAATTCTGCCACATTGATTCCAACCAGTTTTGTTACACAAATTTCCAGAAAATTTGTTCTTAGCTCCCATTCACATCAGACGTTTCTGTTTCATTTACTTGATTGTATTCACCCAGATTCCCACATTCATTAGGTACGTCATGTAATCACAGCAGTTGCCATGTGTTTACTGGAACCTCTTTTTTGTGTCGTTGTTGCTACCTCACCATGTGCTGGTATTCGAGAGGAGTTATATCAGAACTGCAAGTAGGTAACTATTGTAACTATTCCGAATCCGGCCGCTCATTCATTGCTTTCTCTCAAACCGTTTGTGCCTATTCATAGTAGCCTCATGAATCTGTTTTACTGCCTATCCATCCCGCCGTCCGCTTTTGTTGCGCGCCATTTCGCTCAGATGCCTGCTTTTGCTAGTCAACTTCGTTTACTTGAGCCCATCCGACTTGGTGCGTCTAGTGCACAAACCACTTACATCACGACAACTGCCGGGAAGCCAGCGCTGTCCATATCTGCTGGTACGTCCAATACAACGGCTTCATCCGGTGCACACAGTGAGTCGGAGAACACAGCTCCCGAGTTTGATTGGAACTCAAGCGGTTTGACCAATCCCCTTGGTGGTAGGTGGTCTATTTACGTTCTTCACACGAATGATTTCTTCTGGACCCTCTCTCTGTGTTAAATGATTGGCATTGAAAGTGCACAGTTTCTCGTGGTTCTGTTCCGCTCGGCTTCGATCGCTGGATTTGCATCATGTAACCGGTGACTAGGTAGTCTGCTCACCCAGCTCATACGTTACTTTTTCACACGATTCAAGCATTTATCTATCACATTTCTTCCACCTCGGTTCTGCACAACTGTTCGGTTCTACCGTAGTTTGTCGATGGTTGATGTGCATTGCGATTTCCTACCAGGGCTCGTGTTCTAAATCAAATTATCCTTCACATTCAGGAAATGAGTCTCTACACTCATGGAGTTACTACGCGTACTAAATAGCGTGAATTAAACGTTTCCAAAAAGAAGTGCTCTATGTCTGCATCACTATTCATCTGTCGAGGTACAGATTAAATGTGACACCTTTTGATCACATGACCCTACTCGCACTAAAACCTGATACTTTTATGTGGTACCCGTACGACCTTGGTTAGACAGTCTTCAGCTAAGACAACGAATCGATCCCTCGGCGTTCAATATAATTCGCAGACCGGAAGGTTGTTCATTCTGCTCTACTGATGTTTCAAACGATAAATTAACTAATGCATGAGTATTCTGAAACCGTACTACATCGAGGAGTATTCCAAGGTGACCTCCTCGGCATTTCTCTTTTTCGGTTTAGTAACCAGCAATTGTTCGATGCAGTGATGGATTATTCCACTTAGTTACTATTTCTCATGAAGAATAGCAATCATGTTACCTTTCAGAGCATCAGAATCGACTAAGTCTTAATGAAATGTAGAAGTCAAGCACGCAGAAAAACAATTTATCCGCGTCTCAATCAGCTTCTTCCTTTTTATGGAATAAAAACTAGCTGTGCATCGCCGTAGAGCCTAATCAAATCTGGCAGTACTTGACAAAATTGTTCGGGAAAAGTCTGATTTTCAGGACCAAAATCTGCGCAGCTCCTCAAAATTACCGCTACTCACTGGTCTTTTATCCATCTTACGAACGCATCCTCTGTTTGCGGAACACATTAGTCCATTGCCTATATGATGTAATTTGCTTTAAAAGAAAATGATATCTTGTTGCAGTGAAGTATTCGTGTCGAAACGCATTTGTTCTAGCAGACCAATTTGAAAACTTGCTCCAGCACATGCGACATGTGCGAAATATTTATGCGGGCTTTATGGTTCAGCGGACACACTCGTGTCAGTTTTCAATCATGAATGTACAATTTTTGCCCTTTGTTTGTACGTTGGAACAGAATGTGTTCGTTTTTGTTCGGATTGCGGAGTCTAGTCATCATTCAGCATAAAATCACGCTACGGTCTGAGTAGACCGTAGCATATGCACGCTTTGAGGTGACTGGCATATTCTCACTGAATAACTCTTCTCCCTTCCTGTCTGTGAACAGAGGAGATGCAACTCTGTGCAGGTGAATCTCGTGTTGCTCTGACAGCACGAGCAATGATTTTGATAGTAGGACATGCTATGGATTTTTGGAAAATGTGCGGATGGTGTATTATTTTCTGATACCGTTGGGGAATTTTATGCTCATTGAACGAATTTATGTTAATTTCGAATGAAAATAGGCTATTCAATTCGACCTCTGCACAATCTGCTCCAATTGGGTTATCATTCAATTATAGGATATCTGATTGGCTCGTCCCATCCGTGGTGGTAGGGGTAATTTAAGTCGCTCTCACTGACGTGCTTTATGCTCTAAGGTGCAGGGTCCAAACCCTACTTCAACTTTAGCGGTAGATAACTCCACTGTCGTCCTTTTTATTACCCGGCTTATCTTGTTGAGGCCTTATGTGATTCGCCATTACATTGGTTGCCGGTTATCACGAGTGAACAGTAGGTCCTCGTGACTGTGGAGTATACACCTACCGTTTGTAACACAATAATGCGTCAGTATGGGATCCGATGCTGCGTGTCCTATCCGCGTATTGACGATGAATTGTTTGACAAAATACCAAATTTTTTTGAACACAGTAGGCTGCTCTTTTGTTCTTGTAACCTTACTATTTTGATTGATTGTTGCCAACTTATGGCGTATGCATCCTGTATTGGTTGAAGCAAATCGGGATAGTTAATTAACTGAAAAATTTAGATCCTGTAATGAATTTGAACAGGGAAGTCAGAAGACAAACACTTCGAGAGAAATCCCTTTTCGTATTCTCTCATCGATCGCGTATGTACAACATTAAACACGATAGACAAATGAAGTAAATTACGAAATCTGTTCAGCTTTTATCGTGCGTATGTAGTTGCACATGATTGTTTACAGCGAAAGAAGATCAAGGACCCCGGTCTTTGGACACACACAAGGTTTTGCTTATTATTATTACTGTGATTGACCTTTGAATGGATGCCATCTTAAATTGGAGTTAGAGCGGATGATGCTATCGTGTTTCGGTATCTCTCAGTTCTGAGACAACGAATTTGACAACTTCTGTCGCAACATTTGGATTGGTGCTCTGTGAGCGAAGAGCAGTGGAGTGTGCGGAAATAATGTGGAACAATTATAGCTCGGGATTCGGATGCCGTTGGTGAAGAACACTCCAACAACACAACAGAAAAGTGTATGGTTTACTAAATTACCTGAGGACTATGGGAGACAAAACGAGGTCTGAAGGATTATCCATCATAACCAAAATACTGGATAATAGAATGGAGACGACCGATTCACATCAAGTAATGGTAGATCGTCCAAAACATGATTTCGAATTCGTTCGATGAAAAACCCAAAGTGGGCATGAGTTCTAGCACCAAGTAGATCAGTNGATCAGTAGTTTGATTGTTTATGATTCTGTCTGATTAAAATTTATCTTTATTTATCGGCTTGTTTTTGAACATCTTTGATCATTCATCTGTTTTCCCTCGCGATCACAGTAAGTTCTACCATCGAGCCACAATTGGATCTGGACTTTTTCGAGGTTCAATCTGAAACAAATAGTAACAGCGCTCCTGTTCCCAAAGATCCGAAAATATCCGGTGAGTGTGTACGGCTTATCTGTAGCTACCTTCTCGCCGGACTCCACACATGTAAAAGGTCGAAATTATTTAAACTGTTATGTTGATACTTAATCATTCTGATCTCCAAATAAGTTGGTGAGAACGGTATGTCAAGTTCTCTAAACCCGTAGTCTTTCATGATTGGTCAGTTTCCCTAGATAACCATGGAAAGTCCCACAAGGTCTTGCTGATGTTGGCTGGCATAGGAGATTACGGGTGAAACTGCTCATATATGGGTTTCCTCATTTCTTTTGTTTTGGACTCCCAGCTGTTTCAGCAGCCGTCCGAGTTGCTGTAACTCTATCCCTCCTTATAAGCACTTTCATCTACATTCTATAGATGACATTCGCTGGTGATGCCACCGTAAGCTGTTCTTTCTTATTCTTACTCCGGCTCCGCCACCACCAGAATTGATTGCAACCGTGGTGCGTTCATTACCTCGTTCACTTCGGATCTGAGGCATTCCTCCACTCCGAGTTACAACATCCGTGTTCTGTCTAATGCCTCTTAGACCTCCACCATATCACCTCCGACGAGCGCCAATATTACTCACCCAGCTTCATTGTGATTTCCTTCCTCTCAATTCCACAAACTCGTGACATCTGTTTACTCCACCCTTTCGTGGTCTCCCTGCATTTCCTCTTGTTTCTCGTGCAGCGCGCGAGCTCGGTTTCTTATTTCTACCCAGAAGGTTCTTTACTTCAACCCATCCTCGAATACCACGGTGATAATTAGGGTGGTGTTCCGTCTTCTTCGCTCTTTCTTCTTGACCATGTGCACTTTATAAGAGATTCCTCTCGAAAGTTCAAATTGCAGTCACTAGCATATCGTCCAGTTGTTGCTTCCTCAACCCTTTTTATCGTTGTTGCCTCAGGTTACTTTGCTCATCCGTGTCATGTTCACTCGCCACTCCAGAGCCCAGAGAGCCAGTCAGTTTTGTCCGTGGTCTGTTTCGAGACCTCTTTCTCCAGAACATCCTCCCCCATCATCCGTTTTCCCTCCCAGTTTCAAAATCTACCGTATCGATCAAGGATTAACAAACACAGGCTATTGTAAATATTTTCCCTACATATCCTCTTTCTCAGAAACTTTCGGGCATATATGGTTTCCCTCTTCTACCGTAAATCACTGTGTAATAAGAAGAGGGTCGTTAGCGCTGATCCATCTGTCAATACCATATTGGCGGGAAACAGCGTTCCCCGTGCTTCGGAATTTCGTGACTTCATTCCGGTCTCAATTGTTAGATGCCCCGCGAAACTCGTGTAACCGGTGGTTAGAGACACTGAGTGATATGGCTAGGTGTCGCAAACAGTGGTGCTTGTGCATCTACTCATTATTCTTGCAACCCAAGTCAATGTGAATTCTCTATCCTTCACTTTTACGCTGCTCTCAACATTCCAACCTTTATTCTGCCATTTTATCTAAATGGGTAGCCAAAAGGCAGCAACCACAACCGGTGCATAAAAACACGTTTAATGGTTGTAAAAACTAGATATATAACCGTTTTTCTCAAATCGAATTTCACACAACTTGGTAACCGTCCGTCTCAGGTCATCATAAATTCTCAATTAACACAAAACAGGTGCACATTGGGTGCTTCAGGTCGTTTTTCAGCTGGCTCCGCATAATTTGTACAGTTTCACAATAAACGTATTACTTTGTTAGAATCGACAAACAAAATGACGATCTGTACGTCGAATTCATTTGCTTCGATCACTTCGTACCTCAGCGTATCCGCGCATCTAAAGATCACTGTTTCGTTTGTTTCCAGAACTAGAATTAGAGCTGTTTGCCACAACTCTCCCACCGCCTGTGCCAAGCAATCCCCCTACAACTCAATCAGTGCTCAATGGAGTTGACCTCATGTCCCAATCATCTGCGGCAGCTGTGTCTGATTCGAAACCGACAACTTTCAGTTCCACTGTGCGAGCTGTTGTGGCCAAACTACCGAAGCTGCGTTATATGCGAGCGCGCAACTTAATCTTCCCGATACCGGAGACAGAAACAAACTGATCATTCGATTGTGCGCATTCTTCTCATGTTTATATCGGAACCGGGATCACGCCTCTCCCTTCAACCCAACTGACTTGCTGTGATATATGAATTACTCGGACTTTGTACCGGTTTCATAAACGGGCCCTCTCTGTCTGTTGCTCACGCGTGAAGAAACCGACAGACCACTCCTCCCAGAGATCAACTATCCGTGTGAATTCGCCACATTCATTCAAATCCTCCAGGTTGGAGTAAGAAACAGCGGTTTGTACGCAACTTGCCCCCCCTGTGGTTCATTCATCCTTTTTAGTCTTGTCGAAAGTTCTCTTTCTATTCTGTGATTATGAAGCCAATTTCGAACGGGATTTCACATTGCCCAAAGTAAAGGGACACACGCGACCTATCATTTTCATGTCATTGCTTGTAAAACTGACTCAAAGAAAGACAATCGAAGTTGTCCAGGCTGTCACCAAACAAATTATTTCCCAGCCTTATTCAGTCAATAGAATACGAGCTCCTTCGAACCGGAGCATGTCAGTGTGGTAAGGGTTCCGAAGAGAAATATGAGTTGCATAACAGACTGATTATCACATGTTGGTTTGGGGTCATCTTGGGGATACTAACAAACCACATTGGTAGCAACATAACACTTGGCGCAATCACTGAACTCATCCAAACAGAAAGCAATATTTGCATCGAATAAACAAGAATGTATAAAACCGTCCTTGAGTTTGAAACCTACGAAGGCGTCCTAGGAACTTTGGTTTAGGCAATCGTTCGCCTACGGAGCAGAACTGTTATAAGCCATTTAGGTGAGCGAGAAGCATGCAGTGTGCTTACGGAAGCGATCCAAGCAATATTTCGTAATAGATCATCATCATCCGTTGCGTCTTCACGATATAAGACTGGTCATCGTTTTCGAGTCAAAGAATCGTTCATGATTAACCACAATGACTATTGTTTCTAGTAGTAAATGAGGCAACGAATGTTTATGTTCCGTTGACGCCGATCACATTCCGCATCCGATATTCCTCTCCATTTGTTTGTTCCTCGATATATACACGTAAGTAATTTTCAGCTCGAAACAGAGAATGCGACCCCCCTTCCCCTTGTAATACACGATAGTCAACCAACCAGAACAGTGATTAGTTGCATACATTGAAAGGAAAATGTGAGCTGGAAAGCGCTATCCAACTGTAAGAATTGGCAGCTGAGTCGGTTCGCACACCTATAGCGTGATGATAGTCGTTTTATTGGTGAGAAAATTGTCAGAACGGTTCACGAATCTCAAGTTAGAGGCACCTTTTTTAAATAGTTAATCCGAAAGTTACAAACTGCTACTCATGACTGAGTCGTGAGTGAACCATTTTTTCTCTCCTGGTAATTAGGCTGTCACAGATTTCGTTCCTTTTGTGGGAGGTAGACGTGAGTAATACCGCCCACGCTTCGACGAGGACGTGGTAGCCAAGGCGACCGACTATTTGGGATAGATCGATTACCACAACACTACAAGTAAGTAAACTAATTCGTGGCGAACGAAGATACGAACAAGAATGGAAGCATATAATGGTCAGATGGTGTTGGCTGGAAATCTCACTGGCTAGGCAAGGTGTGTTGAAGTTCGAATCAAACCTACTGAAGAGATCGACTTCTTTGGTGTAACATAAATGTGGTATGTTCTTATGTGTTGACTGACTGCACGGTTGTGGAATAAAGGCAACTGTCTAACATTTCTCATACATCTATCGATCTGAGCGCAACGGGAAAGAGTGAAGACTATATTCAGCAGTCACTAGGGAAATGACGACACACCTGTAGCCGTGATCCGAGGAGACCGCAAGATGTTCATCTGCGGTGAATTAATCAGCTGACGTGGATGCATATGACGATAAAAAAGTGAGCTATTGGGATATATACCATAGAAACGGTGCACGTAAAGGAAGCTATGCTGGCATTCAAAAATAAGCAAAACATTGTTCTGGTAAAGTGGCATTTGGTCAGTACGAAAATTTCAGTCCATTGACTCGGTGGGGTGGTCGAAAAGGATGAGACAGGTGGTCGGAATGACAGTGTGCAAGGCACTTGTTTCATGTACAGAAGATAACTGGGGATTGAGTTAGCGCGCACCATCGGATAAGGACGCGTGACAATTAGCGGCCATTGCGAGGATCTCCTTGGGCACCGACTGCTTCGACCGAATTGGATTCGGATGACAGAGAACCGGCCCGTGTGGACCGATACGGCGTGGTGGAACCGGAGAGATAACGGCGACATTCGTTCACCGGAGAAACAGCTGAAGTGGAGTCCAGAGAACCGCTGACACGAAAATAGTGACCGTTGAAATTCAAATGATTCGCCAAGAAGCGCAAGCTTTGATCAGGGTGCGTACAGAGCATGCGAATAAAGTTGACCACCATTTCCTGAATAAATCAAAGAAAACAGTTAAAAAAATAATGTTCTAACCTTGCGTCAAACGGTGCAAAATGTTCCACTTGGTTTGTGTAAGCTCAACTTGCTTTTATTGAATTAAGGTTGTCTGAACCTGTGGACAGGAATAGTTCAACTATGTACATAACTTTGTTCCGAATGAACGCAACGGTTAATATCAGTGAACCTATATACTAAATACCCGGCAATTGTGGTGTTGTGCATTCCGACAGTTGTCTTGCAAGAACCGGTGTCAAGAGGTTCAAATACACAACCCATTAGGGTGTATCAACCTACGCTCATGACAGTGCTCTTCATTTAACTTTGGCGGAAAACAGCATTACTGCCGTTCTACTTGATACCAGAGATAGCACAAAGTTGCCCTATGAGCCGCTCTAATTCAATTTCCAGCGTTTGGATAACTCGTGCCTTTATTGTTGCATAGAAGCAAACTAAAAATATACGTTAGAGACACCTAAAAGGCACCGCTTTGTCCCAGGACGCATTTATTATATTCTCTCGATTCTACATGAACTTAGACTTGCTTCCGCGAACACTGTTCAAACGCAAATCTGTTCCCTTAGTAATTGCGTTCATTAGTTGTCTCTGAAACGGTCATTAGTGAAATGTGTATATGGTTGTAAAGTGAAAGACCACCTTAAATTCTTTATGCAGTCCATAGGAGTATGCATATATGAAGTTACCAACAACAAAAATCAGTCACCGATATGCATCGAGCGGTCAGCTGATTGAACTCACGCGATAGCTGGAAGCCAAGATTCGGATGCGAGCTTGGAACGGACCGACGATACGTTGGATAAATTGGTTTCGTCGAGTCCTCTCTTTGGCCTCATTCGCGTTGTTTGTGCCCCACTCGCCTCGTCTGGTGAATTTAGCAACCTGAAAAGTAAAGATGTTTACACTAGATGAACACATTGCTATCCGGATTGCGCGCGTGCTGACAGATTGAACCGTCATGTAAGAGAGGTGGTTTGCGGTAATGCGAACAGAAACTGGTACAGATTTCGAAAATGGGCCATCAGATGCAATGAAACATTGGATGAGTAAACGACACAGGGAATACACTCGTTACTATTTATTTAGTTGGGATAAGCAAAGCAAACGGTTGTATTCAATATCCTTAGTGCTCACCTCACTCGCAAAATACTCCCGTTTGGTCAATTCTGCTTGGGCGACCTGATTTAGCTCCTGATGTAATTGAGTAAAATTTAAAATCAGATCAAAAATTGTACGCAGTTGACCAATCAGCTGACGTGATGGAGCGTCCAGGAGACACCGTGTAATCACACTGGTCAGGAAAGCTTGATGGGCCTCAATGACTTCGTCCAAGTCGGTGGCCCCATGAATCTGTTTGACCAATATCTCCCATGCACCTTCCAACACCTGCAATAATGGAAACGGTGAATCGTGTTCAAATAAATGAAAAATACCGAGTGAACAAATGTGACTGACAGTTTTATAACAGGAAATATTATTCAATGCACTTGCGAAAGAGACGACACTGGATGGGTTGTAATAACTATTCACTACATACTGTGGAGAAATTCAACTGAACAGCTGCAAAATCCAGCAGCGAGGAGTTTCAACGTTGCTCACCATCATTCACCAAACCCTCTATGTGGGATGGTCAAAGGGATTCAAGGTAGGCGAATAGAAGTAATCGGAATGACAGAAATCATTAAACTACAGAAATAAACTACCCGCTGGCAATGCATACGATACCATCCGATAATTATGTCATTTGATTGTTCCTATGCCCGGTTCAATACCAAGTCCTATTCTCATGGGGCCTCATATGGTTTGCCATTTCGAGTATCTGCATCACTGAACAATACGTCTTCGTGACTACGAGGTTCATCGCATTTGGCTTGTTCACGCGACGGCGTATAATAACAGTTACAGAGAAGAAAAAATATCACGGAATGACAAACACGCACATGTGGGTTTTTAACGGTACACACAAACAGCTGTTAGTAACAGCTTTGCGAAAGATGAAGAAAGCAGTAAATAGTAGAAATAAATTGAGTCGCAGGATGTCATACGAACTTGGCAACGAGCGAGAGATCAGATTGATGAGGCATAAAATGCTTGTGCGGGTGATTTGTAGACCGAATTAAATGGAAGAGGAAGCACAGAACGCAAAACCAGCAATCTAGCCAGTTTGTTGACAATTGAGGCAACTTTCTATCTAAGCGAAAAGAGGTTCTACTATTCGCTCCATTCATTTTCCGACAAAACAACAAACATCACCGACATCATGACAAATATCACGCGCGCTAATAATAAGAATTTGCGCACTGAGCAATAAGAACATGGATGGAGGCTTACCTCGAAGTTGATGTAGTACTGTATCTGTTGTACACAATGGCGAATCTCAGCCCCGAGCAGCTCGGACAAATGGAGAACCGGTTCCAAGTCAGTGTTCAGTCCATGACCCAGCCGAGCAGCGATGATCTGTTGCTTCCATAACGTGCTCAGGGAGAATTCCATACGTTTCGCGCGCCACAAAAAGTTAAATGCCCGTAAATACATGAGACGACAATCGTCAGTGAATATTGTGGCCAACGGTCCATCCACATGGTAGTCCAAAGAGAACACATCCCATCCCGTATCATCTGTTCGGGGAGGCAGTGAACAAGTAAGCACAGGCAAATAAAAATGGGGTCGTTAGGAGAATTCAGGTTCTTCAAGATGGAGGTCCCCAGAAAGAGTGTTCGAAAACACTTGAATTTTTACGAGAAATTGAGTTGTGGTTAACCGTCGACTGTCAGTTGCATTGTGTCACAAAATAAATTTTAGCGTAGCGTAATAGAGGTCTTCTAATGGCACTCCCGAGCTGGTAGACTGTTATGTGCTTTAGGTTTAGCTCTTACCTATGATTCCAAGACGATACACTCAGCAATTCGTCTGACAGGCAAGCTAAACTAAGTTCACCGAGGCCTCAAAAGCTTGTTATACGACAAGCGAAAACAAACACCTATTCGGGCGGACGGGATCCAAAGTCTGATTCAGCGAATGCGAAACATCTGTCCACCACAAGAATGCGTGGATTCTTGGGTTGCACCCAAATTTATCAGAAAATGAATGATCAATGGAAGAGTCAAGGACCAACACAGTGCCGCTTGCATTTAGTTATGGAAAGGCTAGAGATGCACCTTAGGGGGAAAAATCAGGTGAGGCTGGGGACTTCTCTTGTAGAAAACTGTTACGAACACGTATGAAGCAGACGAAGTTCTTTCCAATGAACCAGCCCACGTTAAACGAAGTAAGTCGTCTTATTAATTCTGAACAATGCACGCGCTTAAAGCCTGGTAATCGGAGGTGAAGAAAACAACGCCATTTTTCATTTGAACAAACCGAAAGTAATTGACGTTACTACATCACTAATCTGCTAAAGAACCCAGTAGACGGCGGGAACTATCAGGAGAACAAACGTACTAAGAATGCAGACAAAAAAGGACATAAACCAACCACATATACCACAAATTTTGTAACCTATGTGGATTTTCACGTTAAATTGTACGTATTACTGCACATGACGTCCGTGGATGGTTAAGTGTCTTCTATTTCGCACACAGACAATCATTGCTGAAGAGAACTTGCAGGCTGGGCTTGAGATTGTTCACTGTTAGAACAATTACTACGCGCTTTGGGGCAAAGATTTGGTCTAAATGGAGAATAGTCACCAGGGAAATTAATTAAATGCGCCTAAGTAAAATGAAAGACGGGAGCATCCATCTATATCAGCAAGACTCATCAGGCTGGGAATAATTCGCTACGAAGGTTCGACTGAAGAAACATGTCGGACTCTTTGAAAAGATATCGTAGCTTGGCTTTGACGCGCGGTTAGACTGATGTCCCATGACAACGTAGAACAACAGCCACGTGCAGCACGGAGACACAATGCACATCGTTTTGGTGAATGGACTAGGCGTATATATATAAGAAAAAATCACCTGTGGACATATCCAGGAGACGCACATCCAACCTTTGCAATATTTCCGGTTGCTCGTACTGGGCATTGGTGTCCCGAATGGCCGTTTCCAAGGTGCCGCTCAGACGGTGCGTGAGCAACTGAGATGCAGGTTTGGAGAGATCGGCACTGGAAGAAAGCGAAAAACATTCGAATCATAAAGATTTATCCTCGTCTGCGCGAGAATGTAGTAAGGGAAAAAACGGCAGCAACTGCATTGGGGCACGAGAATAGATTGACGTGGCAATAGCGATTGAGGTTTTCGCTCAAAAAGGGAATTCCTTTAATTTGGGATTGTTGACACCGTCACCTAAGCTCGATTTGTTTGAAATGGTAAACCAGAGCAGATCACGGGCATTATTTGATAGTGACAACCTTCATCCATGAATGGAGATCGTTTTCAAGTGTAAATAGCGTAATCGGTCTCTGGGGACACTAGTTTGCGAACGTCATGAATTCAAGACATGGCGTCAACGACGTAACAAAATTCACCGATCACAGGGGAGGAACGAATTTTGATGGAATGCACCACAACTTCAAGGTGTATTCGAAAGAATCGTTACTGATGACGAAATTGACAAATCAATTCACCTGTATCTCAAAATAAAATCATACCATTGATGCGAAAAACCCTGTGAGTAACGCAATACCTTCAAGTCAAGTCAATAATTTGCTTTATTCATGCGGATGTGTAACAGTCTTAACATATCTAAGTGCGTAGTGTCTTTCCCGCTCCTCGTTTTCAAAGAACTCTGCTACTCTTAACTGTAAGCCTGTATCCAGAATGACCTCAGTCAAGTGCCTGGATTTCACCATTGACAGCAATCTTCATTGGTCCACACATCTTTACAATTGTACGGGAAAACTGAGAAGCCTGTCTTTTCAGCTGCGCAAACTTAAGCGATTCCGAACCCCGCAGTCAGTCCTGTCCTCTTACGTTCACCAATGCGTTTTACCCAATCTACTCTACTGCTCCCCTGTAATGTTTCCCGTTCTTTTAAAACAAGACTTCAAAACAATTCGTCGTGGTTTGATGATCATCGGTCGTGCATCATTAGTTCCGATCTATTCATTAATCACAGAACTCGTTGATGGTCACATCAACTCGTGTGTTAAATTTGCCAATATGATTCTAGATGACCCCCTTCATTCACTGCATCCCGATCTATCGTCTTGTCTTCCCATCCGTCCACACGCTCCTCATTTTTGCATCTACCCTCTTTAACATTTATAAAAAATTACCCTATCTGGCCCGACTTCTAACCAAAGAGGAACAGGTCGCAAGTGAACTTCATCAAAAGTTTTGTACATGAAACAAACTTCAGGGACATTTCTTACCTGTATACCTGTATATTTTATTCCGCGTGACGAACAGTGTACACTTTTAACTGAAATGTAACCATATAAGCTTACACAAGTCACACAAATATAAATACAAAATACACGCTTTTAGCTTTGTACCCATCAAATGACACCTTGTCATTCGAGCGAGTAAACGGGGTTGTATACGATCAAATATAACAGTGTTAGGAAAAAAATATGAGAAAAGAAACAATAATCGTCAAACAAAGGCGTGAGTTTAGTGAGTGTTTTACTTCTGTAGTCCTAAAAGTTATTTGGTAACAATGTTTACAAAAGATAACTGAAAGGTGGTAAGTTGCAGTTCTTGTATGCATTAAGGGAAGTTGTGCAAATCTTAATCTTATCACACAAAAGGGATCTTCTTATCTTGTTCAAAACAATCGATGTGTGTAGACCGAGTATTCTCGTTGCAAAAGTATTGCGCCTCCCCTCTTTGAACTTGCTCATTGAAGTCAGTTTGGTACCCGGGTGAATCGGCCATTCGGCCCCAAATCTGTGCCGCACGCAGATCACACCACTGTTTTGATAATAACTGGCATTTCGTTAGACACCAGTTATGAACTGCGGTNACTGCGGTGTTATCCGGCTGGATAGCCAGACGGTGTAGTAGGTTCAGATCTACTGTGACAAGATATTTGAAGCGAAAACAAGCCAGGCGTAAACTGATTGGACGCTCGAAGACGTTTTCCTGAACAGATGAACGCATTCTGCTACGTGGCCTCAAACTCCGTGTGTGCCATGTATCGGACATAAAAAAAACGGTGCTTGAGTTGAACGCTTCGGTGTGAACGATACAAAGAACACTTCAAACGGTCCTTTGAATGAAGTACAAGAAAATGAGAAAGTGTATAGCACGAACAGTTTTTCAACCACAAAAAATGTGCTGTGGACTGAAACTCAAGTAACTTGAAAAAACAAGTGAAAGTCTGTCGACTGGAGTGACGTAAGAAAAGTTAATTTAGATGGACCCGATGTACGGAACTACTATTGGCACGATCTGAGGAAAGAAGAGCGGGTACTTCAGCAAGCGGGTTAATGATCGGGACTCCGTGACGGTATGGGATGGCTGCTCGAGCAAAGGCCCAGAACGAACTCGCTACACCAAAACCATGCAAAACTCTGATGCGTATATTCGTACATTAGAGCAGCACCAGCAATGGCATGGAATGGACATTTTGATGCCGTTTTTTAACCGGATAACGCCGCAGTTCATAACTGATCTCTAACGAAATGCCGGTTATTATTACTTCGTGGCATCAAAACAATGGTGTGGCCTGCGTGCAGCACAAATTTAAATCCCGTGGAAAACGTTTGGGCTATTGTTACCCGAAACGTGTGTCAACATTTCAGTTTACACACAAAAAAACAAATTAGAGCGACTTGGAGTACGCTGACGACATCGTTTGCTTGTTCGAATGTATGGAGGATGCACAAAGAGCACTCGACAGATTATCGAGTTGTGTCGCTCCGTTCAGCATGTGCTTTGCACCTTCAAAGTGTAAAGTGATGCTAAAAGACCGGGTGTCGCCGAGTTCTGTTCTGAAACTAGACGGTCAGGAATTAGTACTTGGGTAGCTGCGTGACCAACGACGGTAGCGCATCCAAGGAGATAACCGTCCGCATTTCCAAGGCTCGAGCAGCGTACGCAGGACTAAGACACCTGTGGCGGCGACATGAAGTTCCACCAAAGTTGAAAAGTCGCGTATACTGCGCCACCGTACGATCAGTTCTACTTTACGGTTGCGATACCTTGAATTTGCGGGTAGATGACACCCGTCGTTTAGCAGTGTTCAACAATTAATGCTTACGTAGTCTGGCCCAAGTGAGATGGTGCGAGCGGGTTTGTAAGTTAGAATTAAGTCGTCGGGTATTTGGGAATATATCAAACAAGAACTTGCTATCTCATCGAATCCAGCGCAGTAGGCTCCGTTGGTTAGGACACGTTTTGTGTATGTCCGACGGTCGTCTACCACAGCGCGCCTTGTTTGCAGTGGCTATTCCAGGCTGGAGAAAGCCACGTGGAGATGAGGCATAAAGAAATGCACAGAGCGATTACGTAGAGTAGGTGTCTCTTGTCTTCCGGGTTGGGATCCAAAAGACTCCGAAACCGCATGGTTGGAGACACTGAAGATCATAGCTGCGAACAGACAAATACTGTCACTTCTTATCAGACCAGAATGCTTGAAATTGTATGTATGGACAGTTGAGCTGTGTACTCAGTGTGTTGACCATAGAGGTTCGCTTTCTTTTCCCGTCCCTAAAAATAGGCCCAATCCCTGTCCTCCTTACACATTATCACTTATCTTGTATGCATTATGAGTTTGGCAGCGATCAGTGAAGTTCGCTTTACTGTATTACGCTGTACAATGATGATGATGATAAGCGACCGGAATCGATCGATAAGAAACCACTAAAGGTTCCAGGGAATCCGTGGAATGTATGATTACTTACGTGAGTCCCTAATCTGCTTAATTTATTGTTCACCAAAATCCTAGAACGTTATATGGCTTATCAGGCACATTTTCTAGAGTTCTCAGGGTCAATTAACGTACATATCACGAGAACGTTTTTTTGAAATGGAACGTAGTTGTGCGCTTTTGAATATAAATTTCGCACTGATCTCGTCGGCTTCTGATTTTCGGAAGTCCGTGGTTGAAGCGTTGGAAACCGACGTTTGAAGTGCGATTTCGCGGGATACAACAATAGAAAGTGACGTATGTGTCGTCCACTGATGAACAGCAGAAAACAGAACTTTGGTTCTTGTAAAGGCACATTGAGGTAGCATTCCTTTTGGTTAAGTGACCAAGAGGTCGAAAAGGAACGAAGCCGGCCGATTAACCGAAAGAGATAAACGAATCGACATTCCACTTATGCACAGGGTAGTGCACAAAGACAACCAAAAAGGATTTGTAATAGAATACGAGGCAGATGCATAGGTGATCGAAAACAGGCACGAACGAGTTTAACGTACTTTAGTAGATCCATCAAATGCTGTATGAAGTCCCCTTGACCGAGCAATAAAAACTGCCGAGTAGCCTGAAACGATAAGGGAATAAATGTGCGAGTCGTTAGAAATATATTTAAACGAGCAATATATATATATATATATATTAATATGGGTGATAAATATAATGAAACTCCCTTTGATCATAAAGAAAATATTTTAGTGCATCACAATCGGCTAGTACTATATATATATAGAACAGATACATGATTGGAACAGAGCGTAACTTTCAGGTTGGAGGATTGAAAAACGGCCAAATACGTAACAGGAATGGGAGTCCATCTTATTCAGGATGACATTTTAATGGGCTTCGGTACATTAAATGAAAGCTCTTTCTTAGGGAACGCCTCGGTGTCTGAGAACAAACACGAGGAAAGAGGGTCGGTACACCTACTACGATGTAAGCGGCTGCCGACAACTGCTACTTCGTCCTGTCAAAGGACATACTAATCTTTGTGATATGCTTCATCAAGTGGTATGCATTAGGCAGCACTCTACTTACACGATCTGCTCCATAGGGATGATTAACAAATTGGCTGTCAATTCAGCTTCAATCGAGTCGTTATACCGAACCGGACTTACCCTGAGGTGATCCAAAAAGTGATAGCGTTTGATCAAGGTTTCCAAAAGATATCGACTAGTTTGTCTGTACACAGTGGAGATCATGTGATCGAATGATGAGTCTAAATCCTGGTCGAACATGGATTCGACTAAAATTGAAACGAACAAAATGAGTAACAATAACCATGCAGTTAATTGGAATACATTTGGAAAAACAAATGCTGTAATCAGTGGGTGCATTTGAGTAGGGTTGGTATGGTGCAGTTGTGATTCTTGGATTTATGTCATCCTGCTATGCCATGGGTGGTGGTAGAAAAAACCCTATGACTATGCCAGGCGAATTCAAAACAGTTTGATCATGTTAAATGTACAATTTCTCTTTCGTCCTCTCAATACCTTCACTGTTTTGCTTTCATTTGTTAAAAATTCGTGTCCCACAACATTTATGACTCAATCTGAAACTGTGCCACATATCTGGGATAAGAGACTACCTGAAACTCTGTTATATTTGATGCAATCCTACTATTCAGCAGTGGTAGTACTAGTCGTTCATGTTATCTGATTAACTTCATCCGTGGCCAGTGTTTTGAACAACATTATAAGGCTGGTTCACCTGCGTTTTACGCATGTGTTTCCCTCTGATACAAGCCATTTGATGAAGAGCACCGAGGAATGGGGGTGGTAAATCCTACCGTCACGAAAACCTACTATTCACTCATTACAACAGGTAACCACCGCCAGTGGAACAGCGGGTGGCAAACCCAATAAGGACCCAATAGGACAGGTCTGGTATTGAACCAGACGACAGCAAGGTTGTCTATCCCAACGGTCGGATGACGGTGGTAGGGTTTGAACCAGAGATCTTAAGAACCAAATTATATCAGTAACAGCGGCTTAAATCGCCACCACCACTGAAAGGACTGACATCGGTCAAAAACCAAGTACACCTTCATTAGAGTGCAGTGTTTTCCGGAGAAGGCAGTGGCTGGAGGAAGATCAAGGTTGTACAAACTTGGCGTAAGGGTATAAAAATGGCGATCTGAGGATTTGATAAAGTACGTTGTGTTACGCGTCCAGCCTACCTAATTGATCAAGAAACTCCGAGTGATATAGCCGAATGTCGTGCACAGAGGAAAACACTCACTTTCTACATACACCACCAAGCTGAAAGCATTCGTCAGTGCAATGAAATTCACGAGTTCGTTTATGATGCAGTCGTTTGACAGAAGCAGCTTTTCGCATTCCAATGCATACACTAGTTCTTCTACAAACATCAGCTGATCTTTAACATACCTATTCCCAATATTCGCCTGGAAGTCGTATGATGAACAAAGATTGGATAATTTAGTCCTTCTTGGTGATTCGACTCTACCGAAAGGTAAGAAGAGAACAGATGCTGTATTATTGTTTAACAGTGAGTTGGACTGCAGATGGTCGTGTAGGACACGTCTCACCCCAAGTAGAATTTCTATTGTGAAAATTACCTTAAAGTAGCGGGGCACACGTTCACCAAACAGCCTACAAGCACCGATTTTCGACTGTTACTGACTAACTTAGTACAATATTGGAGTTCTCGGGATACCATCAAAAATGTGCCAAGTGGAATAACTCCAGACGACATCCCCAAATAGAAATCGATCAGCATGATATGATAAACTAAATACACATTTCGGACCTAGCACCAAAATATCCTGAACACCCGATTGCGTACAAACCACACATGTTTGATGTACACTATCGGTAACTTGTGCAGACTAGTGGGGAAATCGATTGCACCGGATTTCGAAAAGCATGGAAAATTAAAAAAAAAAGATTTTAATGATTACCATTTTTCAGTCGCGACGAACGTATAACTTCACGGTCTTTTATGCTTCGTTTTTCACCGCAAGCACTTTGCAAGAAATTGATAGACTTGCCAGCTAGGAGAATCTGAAATTGAAATAGCCAGGGAAGCACAGAAGTTTTTTCTCATTACATCTGATGCACTTAGGAACACGGTATAAATAATTGTATAAAAGTCACGCGTCAAATGTATCCTATCTGAATAGATGCACCTGAACGACGCGCAAAGTCCGGGTATGGTCGGAAACGGGTTCTATATCATCGATGTCTCTTTGGAAACGCTATACAGAGGGATGGAATCACGAACTCTGCCCGGGAAGTTTTAATCGTTGCAGGATTTTTTTCTACTGAACTGGATGGATGAGAAGCCCATGCTTTAACTGGATTGATGAACTATCGGCTGAGTTATCCAGGGAAGTGGGAATATCTCAATTTTAAAACTTCTCGCAAAGACTTGCGAACTGCCTCCAAAACAGTCTGCACATAACGATTACCGGTAGGACTGGACGACAGGGTGTATCGAGCGCTCCATAATAGGGATCCACGTTCAATTCAACCGACGGGACGCAGGGTACTAAGGGAACTCAATGATCACAGAGAGTTGAGACCTGGATTAGACAAGAACTCATATTCTGAAACCCATCTGGCCTGGATTGGTAAACTTGGCGGTATTATGCCCAGGTACAAATTATGAGCAGCTAGAATCGGGTTTCCGTCATGAACTTTTGTGGATAAAAGTTATGTAAAAAGCATCAAACAAAAAGACGTAAAGAGAAAGACAAACAAAGTGAACGATTCAATCCTTTGTTGATCATCTGTTCGAAAGGACTGTGTAACTCCGATACTAATTGAAAAATACCTGCGGAGTTGATTGATCACATCACTATTGAACAACTCTGAATTATCGAAAAACATACATTTTCTGTTCAACCGACATATTTCAATGGAAAATACCGATTGGTTAGTCTCAGGGTTTACCTATTGTCACTGATGGTAACCTTATCACTACTCCCTGTTCATGATAAATTACAATCTGTTAGGTGAAGTAGACATATGGTAACCACATGGTGGCAACACAAGTCCAGAGCCCATTTATGCACCGTTGAGGTATATCTGTTTCATTTTACTAACCATCTGACATGACTCAATCAATGGCTCGTCTATGTAGCTTTATGCTGTCTAAAAATAGATATGCTTATTACTTAATCATTACCAAGCCTCCAGTGATGTTCATAGAAAGGATGAATAATGGCTATCACACAGCAAGTGTGATTTGCAAGAGGCCGCGTGACTAAAAGACACTATAACATGAAGGGTGTAAATGGGGGGAATTTCATAAGTTCAGTTTCTCCACTTAGTGCATCTTGACTTAGTTTGTGCGGAGGAGGGAAGGCAAAGAAAGGTATTCCGCAACTCAGTTGTTATGGGAGGAATGAGATGACTGAAAATAAACCATGCGATACGGAGTACGAGATGCAAGTCTTTTACCGAATGACATCCCTAGGGCCATCCGGTATTTGTTTCAAGTGTGCAGCACTAGCCCATGTTCAAACAAGTGCAACCTGCAGGGCGACAGGTTAATGAAGTTTGCAGCCGATGGCCGATTGAGCGGTTCATACGACTTTTAGACGCTATCTCATTAACCTAGGAAATCCAATATTCTCTACTGGTGTCTTCCCGAAGAAATAGGTCCCGTTTTTCTCCAAAGAGCGAAACCACAGGGCATTGATCTTATTCGGTGGAGGAAAAAACTTGCACACAACACGATACAGTTATCAGGTATACATGGGATTTTTCACGAGGATCACTAACCAAGTGAAAAAACACGGCCATTAAGAACACCGGAGAAAGAGAGACTGTCGGTGTTTAAACACCGCTGTCTACGACGCATTGCACGAATCTGGTGGGACAGCCGGACTAGCAATGATGAGGTTAGGCGTAGTTTTAGCTAACCACGGTCGCCCACTGGAGCAAATTGTCGACCTCCATAGATTACGTTGGTGGGGGCATATGTTACACATGTCACCCAATAGGTTGCCACGGCGAGCGATGTTCGCCGAGGAAGGTAGTAAGTGGAATAAAGCCAAGGGTGATCAAGCTAAGACCTGGAACGAGGGTATGAAGACCCTAACCAGGAGACTAAGTCACATAGGTTACGTTAGGCTCCCTGGCTGAGGACCTCTGGATGATTGTAACCGAGGGTTAAAGACACTGAATGATATGGCTGTGTCGTAAACAGTGGCGTTCGTACATCTCAATTTCATAGAGTTATGGAGTCCTCAATTTTCTCTTCGACTCTACCTTCAGCCTTCCTATCTTTCTCCTACTGTTCGTCCAAACGTGCAGTTAAAAGACAGCAACCAAAATCGGCGGACGAAAGTGCATGGCTATTGGTAGTATAAAGTGAAACTGAAGCTCGACTGGCCAGACTTGTGGTAGATTACAACCTTCAAAGATTTGTCTGCAAGCTAACATAGGAGTCATTCGAACCGCGGCCCGTCCTGTTCTTTTAAACGGTCGTGAGACCTGGACATTGCGCACCTTGTGTGTACGTGTAGATAATGCAAGTCTTCGACCACCGGTGCCTGTAATATATCCTGAGGGTACAATGGCGAGGGCGGATTTACAATGAAATAATCCAACGACGACGCGACAACATCGACGATTCATCTAATTTTCCGCAGTGAAGGGGCATACAATGGTTTAGCTCTGATCTTGGATAATCTGCGAACACCTTGAGGAAACCTAATATGCGTAACCAGCAGCGACCCAAGACATCCAAGAATC